TCTTCTATTCACTAGTTGGCAGCACTTATGCACTCACCATCTGTCTCCTTTCCAGTTGTCAGCCTCCCGTATGTCTGTGCTGTCTTTGGGAAGCAGAGCCTATTCTTAGGTCCCTGGAATCTGAATGAGAATGCTGTCTCTTTAAATAATATCCAAAATGACCATGGCTTGTAAACATTCAAAATGGTTGCCCACTCTAGATAGCTGAAAGTCCACAGCTCAGTTTATCTCCTTCTTTGCTGTTTCTCTTTTTGGTTGCCAGCTACCCATGCAGTAGTCCTCGCAGCCCTTGCTGAACAGGGCTGATTTTTATGTTAATTCTCAGGTCCTAACACCACTTGGAAATATCCAGGCTGTCTGTGCTGTCAGGACAGCTCATACTCCACAACTCTGTTTGTCTCCTTACTCACTGTTTTCATTCAGGTTCTTCTACTAGTTGGTGTTTAATCCATTTCTGTATCCTTCCTTTCAAAGGTCAGGGCTCCAGGATTATCTTCTGTATCTGTGTCGGTTGGTTTCCCTTTTCTTTGTTGAAGAGGGTCTGTGTAGCTTGTCTGCCTATTTCACCATGTTACCAAAAGGCCTCTGAAGGCTCATCTGTAGCTGGAGGATCTAATCCCAAGAAGGCTCACTCATGGCTGGCTGTTGGCAGTCTCTTGTAGGGTGTTGATAGGAAGTCATAGTTCTTGCTATGTGGAACTGTTTGAGGATCTTAATGATATGGCATGTGGCATCCCCTAGAGCAAGTGATCCAAGAAAAAGTCAAGCAGGAAGCTGCAATGCTCTTTATGACCTAATGTTACACACTATCACTTCTGCCATATTCTGTTGGTTAGAAGCACGTCCCAATGCTCAGCTCTCGTTGAAGGGGTGGGGGAACTAAGCACCATCTCTCAATATAGGAGTTCTGGTGGCGTAGTACCTAAGGATCAAAGAATTAGTGATCATATTTTAAAACCACAACAAGTGATGTACAGACAGTTCCTGGATTATGAACGAGTTTCATTCTGAAAACTGTCTTTAAGTTGAATTTATATGTAAATTGAAACAGGTACACTTTGTATCTGACATCATTTAGTCACATGTTTGTCTTAGTATATAGTACATAGTGTACCTTTCTGTGCATAAAAGCATTAAACACTTCCAGATACACTAAGATGTCTTAGTAATAAATAATGTTTTGATGTGTGTTGCAAAGAAATGCATGTTATTACAAGCCATTGTATGTACCTTGAATTTTCAATATAATAGGCTTTACAGGGGCTGGTTCATAACTGTAGGTTGTACGTTAGTTAGATGTTCATAACCTGGGGACTGCTAGTATTTGGAATCTAGACAATAAGGCATACAATCTCCAATTTAAAAGCATAAATCTAGTTTTCTGTTAAACAGAATTGCCTCTGTAAATCAAAGTCCATTCTATAAAATACAGGTTCAAATAAGTTAAATTTGTAGTTTATGGTACATGGTGATAACTTTTTTCTAATTGGAATATTGGTAGATTTTTATAATAAAAGAACAAAATGTAAGCCTTTGGAGTTTGTTTCTTGTTCAGAGAAAAGCAGTATTGCTGACTTGCCAATTACCTAGTTTTCAGTTCCTTCTGAAATAGCTGAATTTACTTGTTTACAAAATAATCCACAAGTAGGAGAAAAGAGAGTATGAGCTAGAGTTGTTTATAGTGGAGGGGACCTTGCAGCATTTGTGCATCATTACGAATGCAACTCTTGATGTTTTTGAGGTTGGCACTATATGAACCAGAGGTGGTGATGGTGGTGGTAGGAGTGGGGGTGATTACGATGCTAGCAGCTAACATGAGAGGAGCACTTTCTGTGTACTAGCCTCTACTTTAATTGCTTTACATTATTTAATTCTAATGCTTTATGAGGTAGAAATTGCTATTCCACTACCATCAATTGCCCTTGAGTCAATTAAGACTAATAGTGATCCTATGTGTGTCAGAATAGAACCATGCTCCATAGAGTTTTCAGTGGCTGTCATCTTTTGGAAGTAGATCACCAGGACTTTCTTCCAAATTGCCTCTGTGTGGACTTCAACTGCCAGCCTTTCTGTTAACAGCCCAGTGCATTAACTATTTGCACCATCTATGTACTACAGATAGTGCTATTACACCCCATTATGTAGAGGTGGATGCAAAGCACGAAGAGGTTAAGAACGCTTCCCAAAGTCAGACTTCCAGTGAAGAAAGAAATTAGGACTCATAGCTGCTTTCTTACCATGTGCAGTACTGCATATGGTAATCATTTGGTAACATTTTTGTTGTTGTTGCTGAGAATATACACAGCAAAAACATATACCAATTCCAATTTCTACATGTACGGTTCAGTGACATTGATTCCATTCTTTCAGTTGTGCAGCCATTCTCTCCCTCCATTTCTGAGTTGTTCTTCCCTCATTAACATAACTCGCTGCCTCCTAAGTTTCCTATCTAATCTTTTGAGTTTCTGTTGTCACTTTGATCCCATATAGATAGATCTTAAGAGAGCATAATGCTCAAGGCAGATATTCTTTACTCATTAAATTAAACTATTGTTTGGTTTTAAGAAAACTTCAGGGGATATTTTTTATTTAAGATGTAAAGGTTATCTTAGAGCAATAGTTTCTAGGGTTCATCTAGCTCTCATGGCTCCATAAAGTCTAGATTTTATGAGAATTTGAAATTCTCTTCTGCATTTTCCTTATGATCAGGATTTTTCTATAGAATTTTTGATCAAAATGTTCAGTAATGGTAGCAAGGCACCATCCAGTTTTTTGGTCTCATGGCAAAGGAGGCAGTTGTTCCTGGAGGCGCACATTTCATTCCATTTCCTCCTCCCATTCCTGACTCTCCTTCTTCCTCTCTTTTTCCATGTGATTAGAGGCCAATTATTGTGCCTTGATTGGTGGCTTGCAAGCTTTTAAGATCTCAGGCACTACACAACAAACTAGGAGGTAGAACAGAAGCACTAAACACCTTATTAGGCCAGTTAACTGTGATGTTCCACGAAACCATGACTCTAAAACTCCAAACCAAGGAATCAGATCCCATGAGGTGTTTGATTGTACATAAGCAGCCTCAGCAGCTACTCTCTCTCTTTTTTCTTGTCGTTGTGGTAAATATGTTTATCACACAACTTTTGCAAAATCAAGTTTTTATAGGTATACAACTTGTTGACAGTAATTACATTAATCGTCTGTGCAACCATACCCATAATCTGTGCAATTTCTCCATCTCTATAAACTGAAACTCAGTTTCAGAAAATTTCCCTTTTTCTCTTGCCCTGGTAGCCAGTAATAAACCAAGACATTTGCCTTGTCTTGTCCTTTTGTATTTGTGAGTTCATACAGTGTTTGTCCTTTTGTGACTGACTTAATTCACTCAGCACATTGTCTTCCAGCTCCATTAGTAACTCTTAAAGGAGTGACCAGTACACAAAGGTACTGAATAAAGAGAAATCAAAATCTTTTTTGCATGTTTGTTCAGTTTAGGGTATATTCCTTTGTTCTTTATTATGTTTTGCTAATTTGCCCTATGCCTTTTTTATGACTAGTTTGTTTAGCAGAGGGAAATGCATGTCAGGACAGGCTGGTGGTTAAGAGTATATCGTCAGGAGTCAGAGGGCCCCTCTTCCAAATCTAGGCCACTGCAGGTTAGCATTCTAACTGTAGACTGGTGTCTTAACCTTGGAAAGTGTTCATACTTTTCTTTAAAATAAGGCATTTTCACTTAAAAGATGGGGTGACAAGAATAGTTGTGAGTATTAAATGAGAGAATGCATATGTTGTACCTGGCATATAAGAAGCATGATTAATCATTAACTGTTATTATTCAAAGGAGCTCTGATGGTGCAATAGTTAAAGCATTCAGCTGCTACAGTTCAAACCCACCAGCCACTCAGCTTGACAAAGGTGAGGCCATCAGCTTCCATAAAGATTTATAGCCTTGGAAACCCTATAGGGCAGTTCTACTCTGTCCTAGAGGGTTGGTGTGAGTTGAAATTGACTTGATGACAGTGAGTTTTGGGGGTATTATTTGATACTAATGTGCATCATAATTAT